CACCCAGCACATCTGTTTCTCCAACATGGAAAAGATTGATTTTTTTCACTGGCCTCTCAGCAGGTTTCTTCTGCTAGAAACTCCCATAATGTCTCATCAAAGTTTTTGAAGTATGATGAAAATCAAGACTCCTATTAACCAATTGCTCTTTCTCCCACTCCCTTTTTAGCACTTTAAACTCATAAATAACTCCTGCTCATGGATTTAACTCCTTCTCCACATAATTTTTAATGTGCCATTTGGCACTGCAATGAATTTCCCCATGCTTAGGACAGGGACAAGAGGTAGGACTTGAGACATGGAAATGCAATGGCAGGCAACAGGCACAGTGAACTTAAGGTCTGTGAGATGTGTGCAATATTAGTTCATTCTGTAGCTGGATGTGAATGGTATTGATGTTAAATATCTTACCAGGAGGGCTGAGTGTTTGAAGGACAAGCATTCATAATTTGCTTTAACATTTGACATGATCAAGGCAGTAAAGGAATAATATTCCATTTTTCCATTGTCAAAAAGATAATGAGTTTCATAACTATTGGTATTTTGGGAAAAATAGAGCTTATGTAGTGTAAAATGTGTGAGAGCTGCTATATATTCTTCTATAAATTGCGTATATCATGTTCTTTTGTTGGCCCTATTCAAACACAGCATGCCTATCCTTTTTAATTTTCTGGTTTGCTGTGCAAGTCTCTAACAAAAAAACATTTCTTTTTCTTTTTAATGAAAAAAGTTTTCTTCAGATTATTTATAGAAAGAGCAGTGCTGTCATCGAGTCTGTCTCATCATATCATTCTTGAGTATCAATTTCTAGGCTCGGATGACAAACCATAGCAGCTACTTTTCCAATAGCAGCATCTGGCTTCCTGGCAAACTCAAAATGCAGTTATCTGGAAAGCTTCAGAGTTTCTTCTGAGCACATTTTATTTATTAGAAAGCAGTTGTGTTGCTTTGCTTCCCATGACTAAGCCAAGGAATATTTAATATATTAAAAGGAATAATAGAATCTAGGCCAAGCTGTTGTCCCTAAAGTGGCAAGGAATGACAATATTTTTCCTTTAAGATGACCATTTGTTCAGCTCTGAAGGACAATCTGAAACTCTTTGCCCTCACTCCAGATGCTATTTGAAAGGACTAAAAAAGAAATTCAGCCTTATAATGCCTCAAACTAAATTCAAGTTCACCTTTCCTAGACTGAACACTCTGAAATGTGATGGTGACTTGTCTGCCAGCCTCTGCACAGAGGTGAAAGGCACAATGTCCTTGCAATTTATGATGAATTATGATAGAAGGAACAGCTGGTTCTGTGGGTCAGGTTCTGTGTCGTCCCTAAATATGAGTCAATTCAACCTTTGTTTCACTGCATACATGAGAATTTATGAGATTGATCATTTGGATCCAGCCCTGCAAAGATCCCCCAAGGTAGTTCAGTAGATACCACAATAATCTGCAACATCTGATCCAAAGTGCATGAAAATACAGTTGCAGGAACAATTTTAGTAGTACTCCTTCTTACACATCCCTGTGACCCACTGACACCCTCTGCCACATCCCAGGGTCTTCCAAGGTCCCGTGCTCAGGCTGGAGATGTGAAACTCTGCTGCTGAGCTGGTGGTTTAATCAAATCCCACTGCTGCCCTGGGGATAAAAGGAGATTATCCAACACTGTACAAAATGGATGAAACATCCAGTTCTCCATACACAGCATAATCTGAAGGAGGTTATTAAGGATTTTTTTCCCCCAATATCAGCATCAAATTAGATAGGAAAGACACCAAAACCTATGGAAGAGGACAATCACCAATGATACAGATGTTCTTACAGTTTTAGGACATTCCTAGATGCTAAAATTCATTCTCACAGGCACAGAGCTAAAAGCAAAGAAAAAACAAGGGAGGATGAAATATCTATTCCAGGCTTTGATGGTAGTTAGACTGTATCTACATCAAAAGCCCTATTTAATTGAAGTAATTATTTTCATTCTGAGAAAGAACTCTCTCGAGTTCTTCTTGAGCAATTTCCAAAAGTTTCTTTCAGTGAAATGTTAGTGTTATTTTTCTAGATGATAGATTAAAAAAAAAAAAATTGAAGAAAGCCTAATCTGTTAAACTCAATATGTTTGACACTTAGCAGCAGTAATGCTAAATGGTAACATCTTGCAGTTTTCTTCTGATATCAGTGGTGTCTCTGGGGCAGGATTTTATTAGTGACAGCTCTCACTGAATTCGGTTAAAGCCAAAGTTTTGTCTCCAAAGTAACTGTTATTCAGTTCAGAAATAAAATGATCAGGCACAAGATTTCATTTAAAGCTTTGAACATCAACGTCAAGGAATCAAAACAATTCTGTTTCAAGATTCTGTTTCTCCAGGGTAAAAATTATTTCTGGGTTTGGACTCTTGTCCTTGCACGTTGTTGTGCTGAATTACAGGGAGACCCTGTGGGGCTTTCTCTTCTCATTGTCCTGAGCTTCTGCCTCTGGTCTGAGCTTGGAACAATTGGATCTTAATTCTGATTGAGGATGGAGGAGGCTACTGCAGTGCAAAACACCCTGCCAAGGCTCTCTGCTGCTACATTCAGTGGCAGTTTTGTAAGGCTGTACCATAAGCAAAGCCTGTAAATCAAAGGTGACACGGTGGGCAACCTGTGCAGCATGCAGTGGGTCAGAGAGATTTCGTGTTTAAGAAAAGACTACACGCTTTTCTGCTGTTGAAGAGCGTAAGCACTTTTGCCTTCCTTCCGCCACGAATGGAGATTGTTCAATGGTTGGATTTAATGAATTCAAAATCCTTAGAAAATCACTAGAGCCAGACATCAATGTAAAATACTCCACCAGCTTTCTGTAGTGGAATATAATATTAGCTCTCCCACAATCTACTTCATGCATTTCAAAAGAATAGAGAACATTTTTAAACTAAAGAAGATAGCTTGGGCAGAAAATGATTGCCTGCCTTGGATGCTGCTCTGTAACCCTTCAGGAGCCCAAGTTATTTCTCTCAGGGCAGGAGAAACAGAAACAGATGTCTTCTTTGCAAAAATAGGAGGGGGAGGAAGAGGAGCAAGATATTTTATTAATAAAGGCTGTTAATGTGCTGTTACCTTGCGCAGTCAATAGGAGCGTTGCTGCAGGGCTGGTGGCTCTGAGCCCGTGAAAACCCTGGTGCTGTGTGTCCCCTTTCTGCTGGTGGAGGCTGCCGAGAACCCAGCAGGACAGCCACCACCCTCCCTGTGTGCTGTGGCATGTGGACTGGGAGTGCTCAAGGAGGATGTCTCAGTGCCATGTGGAAGCCCTGCTCTGGGTCCAGCCCACCCAGCCCTCCCCCTGCCTCTGCTCCAGCCATAAGCATCTCTCCCAGCAATACCGTAACACAAATAAATAATATTAATTAAGGCTCAATAGGTTTAAAAAGCTATGGAAATAGCTTCTCTGCTGCTGTTTCAGTATCTCATTTCCCCACTCTGTCCAAACCCCCAAAGCCCAGAGGTACAAACATATATTTCAAATGAGAAGTTTGTTGAACCTCATTAAACTTAAATGCTCAATCCAGTTTTTCAGAACGATTTATCACTCTGCTTTTGAGTTTACCTGATTTCATTCTTCCATCTCTAATGGAGACATTAATTTAGAAGGTGATTTTTGCAAAGGCACTGATACACCTACAAACCACAACTGAAAAGAAAAGCATAATTTACATTTTTAAACCAAGCATCTGACTTTGGAGCTGTTCTATGTTTATAGGCTTATGTCTGAGCAATTTGCCGAGGTCTCTGCAAAATAAAGACCAGCTTTTAATTTGTATCTGCTTTTTGTTCTCACAGTTTTTTGGGTTTTTTTTTTTGTTTTGTTTTGTTTTGTTTTGTTTTTTATTCTGAAATGGACAAGCAGCTGAAAAGCCTCTCTGCGTTGGTATGCTGAGCATTGGAGTCACACAAGCACCTGCAGCCATCCACGCACTGCTCAGCAAGAGCACTGTATTTCTCGAGGTTTGTAGCTCTTGTCCTCCCACTCCCTAATTCATATACATAAAACTGGTGTGCTGCCACGTTCCCTCCACACAAATGCATTAGCTGATCAGGAAGCCTTCCCATTCATCTGGCTTGTCACTTGCATGAGGTGGAGGCAGGACCGACTTGTCAGCTCGCGGTGATGGGAGTGAGGGGTGGAAGACAGGATAGTGCGACAAAAATGGTGTAGATATTTCTCCCCTTGGTTTTCCAAGGGAAAATATTTTCAGGTGCTGGCTTGTCTCCACACCCTTCCAAACAGGAGCAAACCAGCAACCCAAACACTTGCCTACAACCTCCTTGGGTAATTCATTGCAGAGTGAGGCTGCAGGAGGAAATCATGGCTAAACCCCCTTGATGGCCCTGGCAATGTGGGCATCTTCTTGGAATTTCAAAGCCTCGTCCCCACTGTGTTTGGCACCGTTTCCACGGTGATTTCCAGGGCAGCCCATGCAGCAGAAGGAAGGTGTGTGCAGAAACCACCCAAGAAAGAGCAGTGGAGGTGCAGAGCTTTGCACCTCTATGGTGGGTGGGACCTCCCCGCTCTCCAGACAGATCCTGGCGTGCTGCAGGGTGGAGAGCCCACCTGGTTCACACTCACACCTGTGAATTTCACAGAATGGCAGAACGGTTTGGGTTGGAAAGGACCTTAAAGCCCATCTCGTTCCGTTAGACAGGCAGCTCCGAGCCCCGTCCAACCGGCCTCGAGCACTTCCCGGGATGGAACACGCCCGCCGCGGCGGAGCCCGCTCAGACCGAAGGAGCGGAGCGACGCTCGGCGGGCGCGCCCCGGGCACCGGGGCCAGGCTGTCCCGGCGGGGCGGCGGCACGTCGGGGGTCGGGAGGCTCCGTGGGCCGGTGCCCGCGGCCGGGCCGCCCCTCCCTCCGGCCCGGCCGGTGGCTGCGCGGCCGGGGCGGTGCGCGGGGGCGCGGCCGGCGGCGGAGCCCGGCCCCGCGGCGGCGGCACGGCTCCCCCCGCCCGGCCCGCCCCCCGCCCCGTGACTCGGAGCCTCCCGCGGGCGCGGCGGCTGCCGGGCGCTGTCGTGCGGCCCCCCGCGCCCGTGCGGGGACTATGAAGCACCATGGTGTGGTGTGACCGTGGCGTCCAGATGCTGCTGACCACGGTGGGCGCCTTCGCCGCCTTCAGCCTCATGGCCATCGCCATCGGCACCGACTACTGGCTCTACTCCAGCGCCCACATCTGCAACGGCACCAACATCACCACGGACGAGGCGCAGGGGCCGCCGCGGCGGGCGCGGGGCGATCTCACGCACTCGGGGCTCTGGAGGATCTGCTGCCTCGAAGGTACCGGTGCTGGCCGGGGCGGGGGGAAGCCACTTCCCCGGGGGGACCCGGCTGCGCTCCCGGAGCCGCCGGGCAGCGCCCGGGCAGAGCCCGGCAGCCGCTGGAGCCGGAGCCGCCGGGCTGAGCCCCGCCGGAGCCGGGGCCGGAGCCGCGCCGCTGCCTCGGACACGGCCGAGGAGGAGGATGGCGTTACCGTGGCAACCGGCATCTCCGACATTGCCATGGGAACCGGCGGCGGGATGCGGAGCGCTGCCCAGGGGAGCGCTGCCCAGGGGGGCGACCTCGCTCCGCGACCATCGCCGGGGATTCGGGGCTTTGGGGGGCTCCTGGTGGGCTCGGGGCTTTGGGGGCTTTGGGGCGCACCTGAGCCCTGCAGGCTTCGGGCTGGGTCTCCCCTGTCCCCCCTCCCCCCGGGACTTCGGCTTTAGCAGCTTTGGAGCTCAGCCACAGCTCTCGGGCAGGACAGCGGGAACTCCAGTTCCTCCCAGTCTGCCCTCGCACAGAGACACCGGGGGCTCGGGTGGAGGGGGTGTTGCCACCGCTCAGGTGCTTCGGCGTGGAGTCGGGGTTCCTCGATACAGCCCGAGGGTCGGGCTGAAGGATGGGAACAATAAAAAGATGGGTGTTGTAGCCGCTGAGCTGGGCAGCAGGACCCCGCTCCCCGCAGAGGCCGAACATGTGGCTCCCGCTCTGAAAATGGAGTTGTGGAGAAGGCGCGGCGGTAACTGCGGGGACAAAGAAGCACATGGGTGTTGCGAGCGTTTGGCAGAGCGGGTCGCAAAGCCCAGATGGGAAAGCACATCTGTCAGCCGAGAGCTCCGGGGCACATCCCTGCGAAAGGAGCGACGTGCGCTGGCAGCGGGGGCTGTGGCCACGGTGGCCCTGGAGCCCCTCACCTGCTGGTCCATCCTCTGAGAGCGGCCAGCGGAGCCTCCGTGCTGCTGGAGCGGAGCGTGGGGGAAAGGCAGGGCACAGGAGCGCTGCTGGCTTGTGCCGAGCCGCTCTGTGCCTCGGGGGATGGGGCACCGGAGCCCTGCTCCCACGGGGATGCGCTTGGCGGGCGGGCTGCTGCGCACCTCATTCCATCAGCACGGGAACTTTGCAAAGCCGGCTTTGTGCTTTATTCCAGCTGACACACGGCTCAGCCCAGACGAGCCCAGCTCCGGTTCAGAGTCGCAGCTGTGTTTAGATGGGTTTTTTTCTGCCCAGAACGGGCTGTGGCGTGGTAGAAAACACCTCATTCTCACGTCTGCTCTCATCTTCTCCTCTAGCTAATGATTTAAGGCTACAGTGTAAAATGATTTTCCCCTTAAAATACCGGATTTGCTACCTAGGAATAGCAGGCATACATAGAAGAGCTGTAGGAAAAGGAAATATTTTTAGATGCTAAAGAGAAAGAATTATCGAAATGTGAAGGTTTATGGGTAATAGCAATGCTTGGCTTTATGACTCTTAAAGGAAGTCTAACACTCAGCATGGGCTTTTATGGCACCTGGAAAATGAGAGCTTGCATCTGAGAGCTCCTGAGTTTGCTTGAGAGGTGCTGAGCATCCTCCACTTGAACTGACACTTGTGATCTCCACTGAGCTTGTTCTAAGTGTCTTCAGCCTCCATTTTTCATGGAAAATAAGTTTGTTTTATATCTTGCAGGAGTTGCTGAGCTTGTCCAGCTAGGCTGGACCTGTCACCTCTGGGAAAAATCCCTGAGCTTCCCAATGTCAGGATTTCTCTGTGGTCTCCCAGTAGCACCATTCATAAGAGTGAAGCGCAGCTTCGACTGAAACTGGTGGGATTTCTGCCTTGATTTCACCTGGGCTTAAGTCAGAACTTTCTTTAGGAGAGCAGCAGTCAGGAGAGCCGTGGGGCACGGGCGGTGCTGAGGCAGCTCCTGGCACCACGGCCGAGCTCCAGCCTGGCAGCGTCGCTGGGCAGCGCCGGTGCCCTCCTGGCACTCACCAGGGGATTTTGAACAGTTGCACCCAGGAGCTGTGTGCCAGTGAAGCTCAAACCCCCACCAGTTCGGGGGATAAAAAGGCTTTTCATGGGACGCATCAATCCGACAGCAAGGGAGCTGTTCTGCTCAAAATTCAAATGCTCATAATCAAATTATAAAGTTACAATTTTTAAAGTTGTCAAATATGTGCTAAGAATGCCCAATTTGAGAAAGCTGTCATCTGTTCACAGAGCTGAGGAGCAAAGACTACATTCTCTCCTCCTTTTTAGTATGTTCTGTTTTGTAAGATAAAATCTATAGATACAGTAAATTATTCATGTTTTAAACCATGCCATGGGACTTGGATTTCAAATGGAACCATTCCTTTGTTTTATAAAATAATAAAACCATTTCTAGAAGCTGATTTAAAACAACACTCCCTTGACCATTTCAGAGCCTCGCTCATTTGAAGTGGCTGAGTCTTTTAGTAATCTAAAGGTAATATTGCAATTCTGAGGAGATACATAGCAAGAAAATAGCTTCAGTTATGTATTTTTATATGTGTTTAAATGGTCTGGCTTCAAACCTATTTTTAGAAATCTTCTGGTGTTTTGTAGAAATAATTGTTAAAACCTCTTTAATTTATTTTAATGGTCTTTATTGCCATTTCACTCTTATGTCAAAAAGACAAATCTGAGACACAAATGTGCAGAAGCTGAAAATGCCTTTAACAGCCTCTGAAATTGCTTTTGACATACATAAAGCATTTTGCTGAGCAAATTTCAGGTCAATTGAAATTTCCCAGTAAAATGTTTCTCAGCTCTATCAATTAAACAACCTGTATGCTGGATTATGAGCAATCACCTCTTCTGTAGCCCCAGCTCCAAGATTTCAAACAAAATTGCTAAAACAGGATGTAAAAGGATAACCTCATAATTCAATTATCAGGTGCTCCCCAATGTTTTCCTGTTTTTCTTTGAAACAATATTTTACAACAAATTGGCATCGTAATTGCAGTGATACAGCTTAGGGATCAAGCACATTATCTTTGTTGGGAGCTGCAGGGATGAAATCATGTTTCAGTTCTAGTAGTTGATACTACTATGGAGCTTAGTCACTCAAGAGGCAGCATTAATGATCCATCACTCAAACTCTTGCCTGTCTAATCCCAATTTTGTTCTTTTAGTGTGTTTGTCAAAGGTGGAGGTAGGAGGTTCATTGAGTGGATTTTAAATAATTGTGCTGTTTCTGTGTGGATTTTTAAAAGTTTTATCCAAGGTAATTGCCTTCAGTGGCAAAGTGAAATAATTCCTGGTGTGGATGTGAGGAACAGAAGTGGCTGAGCCTCAGAGGATGGCCCTGGCAAAGCTGGGGTTTGGTTTTCTGAACCCAAGACAACCACAATAGCTGCAGCCTTGGCGGCTGAAGTTAAAATGCCACTGGAGTAGGGAGTTTCTGGTGGAGCCCCCATGCAGCCAGTCACCCTGGGACCTGCACCCAGCC